CTGGTGATATATTAGTCGTGATAGGGCTAACATGTGTCGCAAATAAAAAAAAAAATCTACAGTTCTTTGGTTGTCAAGATTTAACAAACGTGTTAAACGTTCTTCGTTCTTCGTTGCTGCTTCTGAAGCTTATCTTAAGTGCCAGTTGCATAGTTGCACCTCGGTTATATACACGGCACTGAATCTACCCAGAAAACTGTTTAGCCTCTGTGCCCCTACTCTCTACTTTTATTCTGGTCTTCTCTTCTCTTTCCTCATTTTCATTGCCTTGAACTTGACTTAAATTTCAGTAGTCACTTGTCTGACCAACTCTGTACGTTTTCATGCATCTTTTTCACCTCTGTCTTTTATTCTCCTTATTAATTTCACATTTGCAATTGTTGTTTGTCAATCAGGTAATTCGTAGAGGGGACACTGCTTGCTGGCGGGGTCTGATGGTCTCTGTAAGAGCCAGTGAAAGTGTCATAGACATGACTATCACCAACCTCTAATGATGAACGAATTTCTTGGTTGGTGTATCACTTATGACTCACAGTGGTGTGGTTAAGTGTTTGACTGGTAACCTTAGATTAGCCGGTGTATAAGAATGAAGTTTCAGATTGTCTTGAAATTACAAATAGTACAGGAGGAGCATTGTACGATATAAAATTCGGATTACAAGTTCGAATCTCGTCGCTGTACTGAAATCATGGAGTGAGGTCGAAAGAGATGATACGGAGGGGAGGGATGAAGACGTGAGGATAGGAAGGGAATGAAGAAGGTGGGGAGAGGAAAGAAGAGGATGGGAAAGAAAAGTGAAATAGTTTACCTAAGGGGAGGTGTGCCCAGTCACACAGGCCGCTGACATACTTCTTTCGACACAGATTTTCTCATTGATGCTAAATAAAGAAACAGGTGTCGTCACTCTGGTGAACGAGTGTGTATTGACCCAGGTGAGTTAATACGTGTTGAGATCCAGCTGCTTTCCACGTTACCTAATTTCCTCAGTGAGCTTCAGACATGAAGAAATTGTTACCTTGCAACAAAATGAGTGATGTGGGCTACTCTTTGTTATACTTATGTGCAGAAGTGTATGTAATATAAACACTTCTTCGGAAAGTAATTAGGAAAGACAAACTGATTATTTGACTTACATCTGAGGTCCACCTAAGCAAAACTTTTAAATTTAGATTTTTTTGTCCAGAGTGAATTATTTTAAACGCGCTGTTTAATTCTATTCACACACACGCACACATGCACGCATATACAACAGGCCTAGTGTTTAATCGACATGTGCCTAGGACAAAATGGTAACTAACACACAGTTATGCCTCTCTTGAATAAGTGGGACACGTTATTTCTGCCAGAACATTGAGGACACACCACCGTAGAGAGGAGCTACATGGCATGCACTCATCTCTAACACATGTGACAGCCACTTGAGTTATTGAAAAGCTAACGCAACTGATAAAGATGACACACGAAGCTGGCTCAGCCGTCATCAGCTTAGTTACCATACACTCGTGTGGTAGTTCGGTTGTGTGAGCACCTCACTCCGTCAGCCAAGGTAAACACGGTTGTGTGTGGCCAGAAACTGGATGGGTGACTATGTGAAGACAGCCTCAGCCTTAGCTGCATCAGATCCGGGTAAACAATACAAGCTTCACATCTGTCTACTCGTTGCCTCTTCACAGAGGAAATATTACTCTTTTTAATGTAATAATTATTGCTGCTAAGCTTGTAGATACATTTGTTCTTAAAATTGCTGTGTTTGCACATGTTTGTGTAAATGTGCGAGTGCCAGTGTCAGAGGCAGTGACACGGAAGTAAAGAAGAATGTTTGAGTGTTGATTGGCTGAGTCAGTAATGCTGCTGCATGCCGCCTCTCCACCATTTATCAGTAATTAATCCCAATTTTAGGGATTTGGAGATTAAAGCAGACTCTCAGCATACACACATACACACACAGGCGGGGCCAGGAGCTGAGTTTCGACCTCTGCAATCACAATTAGGTGAATACACACACACACACACGCACACACACACATACACCTCAACTAGGTGGGTACAACTAGCACACGGTTCAGGGAGATTGACCTAGTAGCGACCAGTGAAGAGGCGGGGCCAGGAGCTAGGACTCGACCCCTGCAACCTCAACTAGGTGAATCCATCTCTGAGTGTATATATCCAGTGTGAATGTTAGATATTGTTTAAAGTATAATATAAATGCGTGTGTGTGTGTGTGTTGAGACGTCGACACCTGCCTTCCTAAACATCTTACAGTTATTGATTATGTGGGCCACTCTACATCCACAGTAGTGGGAGGTTGCTGGGTGCGTGTGGGCGGCCTCACGCCCACTATAGAGCGGTGGGCGGGCGAAAGCGTGTGAAATGTAGTGTTGCGTGGGCGTTAGCCTTGCTTACAGTAGCTGTCTCGGTGTTGAGAAGAAAGATAAACTGCAATACTGTGGGTTTCCTTGGCTCAACACGAAGGTTGGTTGCTGCTGCACCATACCTCGTCAACACCACCGACTCTCTTCTATAATTCACTCTGGGTGTGTGTGGGGAGAGGGTTGCTTGATCCAGGGAGGAGACGATAGTTTTAAAATCCTTGAGTTAAGAGTCCTTCATCAGTATCAAGTCACTCTCCTAAACGGTGATGCTCTGAGATCGGCTTCATCACTCTTGTAGCTTATGTCTAACAACCAACACCAAAAATCACAGAACATTAATGGGGAGGAGGGGGGCCTTGAACCCATGGCAGGCGAGTTCTTTAACTCGGATGTCAGCGTGTTTTAGGACTCGCCTGTCATGGGTTCAATCCTCACTCTGTGATTCTTTGCAATCGTGTAATTACGATTTCGAAGTCACCACAAGACCCATGGTTTTTCTTGCACCTGCTGACCCCTGTTCACCTACCAGTACATAGGTACCTGAGGACTAGTTGACTATTGTGGGTCACATTCTGCAACAGGACCTTAACTGAAATAAGCTACATCACTGACTGTGAATTTATTTATTTATTTATTAATTTATTTACAGTATTTATATATTGAGAAATACTCGTAATCCACTTGAGATTCGTTTTGCTTTGGATAAAATCTGTGATTTAATACTACAAAATCTGATGATAAAATTCCTTCAGTTTAAAAAAAATAGCGAGACATTTTTAGTAATATATGTACCTGAATGTAATAGTTTCGGATGTTGATAAAACAAAATATGACCAAATTTCTCTTCGTTTTGTGAGAGGAAAAGAAAAGAATTTAATTCTTTCATTACAGAATTCCCTCGCGTTTTTTTTTCTTTTACCTTTTTCAGAGTAAATTTAATCCTGCCTTCCACCGGCGAGTCAGAATGAAACTAACAAAAGTGGTCTGAGTAGAAAAGTAAAATTGTACTTTTTAAATTGTTCATAAAAGATAGTTCATTTTAAAAAAAAAAGGTTGCCAATTTTTCGTAGCAAAAACGTTTTACTGTTGCAAGATCGAAAGCCGACCGACGCAGATTTTTCTTCTCCTTTTAATAATCAAGAAAACGTGTTTGTTGTATGTGTATATGAATATGTATGTTAATATAAATATATTGTGGGATCCTCTTCAGCTGAAGAGGATCCCAGAGGAAGGTTTTTTTTTAATATTTACCAGTCTAGCACATGTCACTGATGTTATTCTTTTCGTGCGCTCTTCGCTGTTAAGATTTAGGTCCTTGTCCCTTTCCCATTTATTGTTTTCTGATGTTTACAGCCTAATCACCTTGATTCTGAAGAAATTCAATTCCTGCGTTGTACATTTCTTGCAGGTACCCGAGTTTATTCTGTAGTATTTTATAGTTCTCTTCCTCCTCCTTCCCATACGTTTATAACGTCTTCTGTGAGCACTTTCCCCTCCATCTTCAGCATCTTCCTCCCTTCTCATCCTTGCATATACATCCCTACCTCTGCTGCCCGCTTCCCTTTTGCTTATCACTTTGGTTTCTGCAACACGAATTAAACCAAAGAATCTATCTGTATTTCCCATTTCAACTCTTCTTGACTGAATTAAACCTTTCTTTTTCATGGGACTGTATCATTTCGTGGGTAGACTGATCATCGAGTTCCTCGTCCCACTGGAATCTATTAGGGAAATATATCATGCTTGCGCATTTCCCTTCTCTGGTTTATTGTTTCTGCATCCTTCCTTTATGTAATATTTTTCCAGTGTCCGATTCATTTAGAATGTTTTTGAGGATATGGGTGAGATGAGTTCTAACTCTTGTGGTGTGTGTGTGTGTGTGTGTGTGTGTGTGTGTGTGAGAGAGAGAGAGAGAGAGAGAGAGAGAGAGAGAGAGAGTGTTAGTATTTTCATACTCGTGATCACGAAAGAATATTCCCACTGAGGTTGTAGCAGCACATCCCCTTCAAAAATACAATTAATGCTTCAATTGAAGCTCTCGTAAAGCAATCTGTTTAACTTTGTTTTCCTGTTGATAAATTAATATCATCGAGAATCTATAACTAGCGAATCATATTTATTGTATTTTAGTGTTCGTTGATAACACTTCATAAAACCTCCTTTTATCACAATGGTTTTTTCAGTAAATCTCTTTGGACAACTAATTAGATAATTAAAATTTCAGTCATATGGGGCGTTCACATTCTCAAATTTATTTGGAAAAAAAAAAAATTTCTGAGCATGAGAGAAGTTGACAGTCAATCTTTCTTCTGAATAGGGCGATCGTTGTCTCTCGACGGATTTGTTCGTTTAGAAGGGATTGAATAATTAAATTTATTCAGGTATATATAAATAGTTACATTGATTAGAAGCATATGTGTAGTGAACCTAGGATGACCCAAAAAAGTCAGACTTCCATTGTGGTCCTTTGAAGTAGTGGGGTCAAAGTTGATGGGGCTTCAAAGATAGATTTTAGAAGGTGCTGACATCATAACACTTACCATTATATATATGGCAACGTCACAGACACATCTTGGCAGACGTAAACATGTGACTCAGCTCTTCTCTCTCTCTCTCTCTCTCCCTCAGGGCGCCCGGTAGAGTGGCCGCCTCGCCCAGAGCAGGAAGACCAGGATTCAGCAGACCAGGTAGCATCTTCCACCACCCAAGACCAGGTTCCCCCACCTGTGCCGCCTAGACCAGCTAACTACCCGCAGGTGACGCGCTTACGCTAATGCTGCTGCACACCTGTGCTTCGTCTCACTGTCACGCCCACACCTGTTGTACCTACCTCGTGTCATCCTTCACCAGTATTGTTTTTTAAACAACTGAATTTCCAGAGAGGCGTTATCTTGCCTCTGTTCATTTACACGTTAAGAGCAATTATTCTATGTTTATTTACACAACTCAAAAGCTGCTATCATTCTTCAACTCATTTGGAAGTTAAGAAAAGTTTTTCTATGACGGTTCAAACAGCATTAGAGCTATCATGCTTCAGCTAGTTTGCAAGTTTAGAGCAGTTTTTCTATCTTGGTTCATTTATACAGCTTAAGAGCTGCTAGTATACCTCATTTCGAAACCTCGCGCACTCTAAAAAAAACTAACAACCACCAGGAATCCATCCACAACCTTCGACTGAGAGCTACTGAGTCGTTGCTTCCAGCCCGGTAATCAAACCTTGTCCTTTCGATTCTACATTACAGACATTCTTAATCGCTGTGCTGCCTAGACTCGTAACAGTAAGGGAAATCTGCGTAGATTGCGGTCGAGTAAAGTGCTATTGTGATGATACCACTAATAAAAAAATATCAAACGTATGTTTTATTAAGCAAAATTTTTAGACTGTGGCAGTTTGCAGAGGCGGTGATACCCGAACTGTGAGCCAGTAATGGCGGAGGTGTCTCCAGCTGGAGGTGGAAATATATAACAGTGCTCAAAATTGCGCATATATATAAAGAGAGAATGAATTTTTGAGCACTGAACATGTAATAATGTGAGCTGATATTATTCAAGAATTAAACATCTGATAGTCCTCACAGAGAACATAAAACTATATTAACAACAAACCTGTACATAGAATCAATGACCTACTTGGCTCGGGGAAAGAAACGAAGAATGTGACCTTATTACGAACACAAAGAAGCTATTACTTTGGTAAATTTAACAAAGAATTTAGTATTTGTAGTGAGCATAGGATGACCTGAGCGGTGTACAGCAGTGACCTTGGCAGTGAAATTACGCACCTGATGTAGATGGTGATCTTGGCAGTGACGGGAAGCACATTTTGCAACTATATTGCTTCTTCACTGCAGCTAAAAGCTTGGCTATGTATAACATGCTATAAGTTCATTACTGCTTCTGCTTCTTCTTCGAAGCTGTGTTTTTGTGGATCCATGCACGCCAGTAAACATTAATTGAAGATTATAAAACAATATAAATGTACATATAGGCACATTTAAACATATAAAAATATATATAAATATTTATAAGGGTGAAATCCTCTTATTTTAATTTTCACTAACGATTGTGGTGGTGGCGAGAGAGAGCAGGGAATCAGTGTGACGTTTTCCAACAGGCCAACAGCATGGATCAGGTGCAGCACCACCAGCAGACGATGTCGCAACAGCATCAGCAACAGCAGAGGCAGCAGGTTACCTCTGCTTCGTCGGAAATGAGAACGGTGAAGCAGAGTTACCAGGTGAAACAGCATTACGAAACGCGATACACTGGATCACAGCAGATGGGATCTGTTCAGCCTCAACAGCAGCAGTCTATGCAGCACCAGACAACACAACAGACCTCGTCCACCTCTCATCACCCGCCAGTCTTCAGCAAACAGTACCAAACACCCTCCCACATGACTTCTCCTCCTCCGAATTTCAATCAAGTTGGATCTCCTTTCTCTCAAGGCGGCCCGGGTCCTCAGTCTAAATTTCCCCAACAATATGCTCCCAGGCTGCTGCCCCGCCCCGGTATGCTCCCCAGGCTGCTGCCCCGCCCCAGTATGCTGCACAGAATGCTGCCCCGCCCCAGTATGCTGCACAGAATGCTGTCCCGCCCCATTATGCTGCCCAGAATATTGCCCCATCTCAGTATGCTGCCCAGAACGCTGCCCCAACCCAGTATGATACCCAGCCTCAGAATGCTCCACAGAATATCCAACCACAATATGCTCCTCAACCCGCTGAACAGTTTGAGAAAGGTCCACAGCCCCTGTATCAGCAAGCACCTCAAATATCGGCCCAGCAACAACAAGCAGCACCTCAAACTGCTGTCCAGCCTCAAACTGCTGCCCAGCCTCAAAAAGCCCCTCGTAAAGTTACTAAACCTCAGGGTAACGCTGGTCCTCCAAAGGCGGAAGTGGAATTTCCTCCAGGGTACAGTACTGCCTACAGCGCCGTCCACGGGGAGTGGCCGCCGAAGGTAACGCTCCTCGCCACCATCACTAACACAGCCACTAACACATCGTCGCCCTCCAGGTAGTGCACCACTCACCACACTCACTAACAGCACGCACATACAATGCTTCGCGTTCAGCAACAGCTTATCACGCCCACTCAGCTTCGGCGAATCCCCTTAAGAATGATGCTTTCTTTCCGTCGTTACATGTTAAATTAGACACATGTGCAACTCTTGGGTATCTTTATTGAGGAAACGTTTCGCCACACAGTGGCTTCATCAGTCTATACAAAGGATAAACTTGAATAGGAGGAGAATGAGGTAATCATTCCTCAACCTTGAGTCGACGGACTTGACATTGATGGACTGACCACATCGACTCAAGGTTGAGGGACTGATTACCTCATTTTCGTCCTGTTCTTCAAGTTTATCCTTTGTATAGACTAATGAAGCCACTGTGTGGCGAAACGTTTCCTCAGTAAAGATACCCAAGAGTTACACGTGTGTCTAATTTAACAACGTGTCGGTTGTTTGAACCATTCATCTACAACCGTCGTTACATGCTTTAATACTGCGGCGGAAATGCTTATAGAATTAAATTGTTAGATATGAGATTTGATGTTTGTCTCATGTCTTGTTTTATTTACATCTGAAAAACTGTCTTTAAACTTAAAACAAAATAAATTTGTTACTTATAACTTGTTGTGATGTCTATCGCAACTCTAGTGAGTTAATGAGCACATAGCAGTCCCTAACGTATTTTGTACATTGCATTAGCCAATCAGTTATTTTATGCTGCATAAAACACGTACATTTTATGCTCAGATGTGATTTATACACATATTATTAGTGATAGTTTATGGTTGTAGAAAATACTTATTATTTGTTTACACAGCGGGTTAAAATCGGGAAGTGTTTCTTCACTATGAACATCGTTTCAACAAAAATAAATGCTATATTTTCTGTTTGGGCAAAGAGATATTGCCTCCCAGTTGAACAGCAAATAGAAAAAGCACCTTTGAGACATCTACCAGATTGCTAAACCGTCCTCTTAAACGGCTCCACCTTCTTATAAACACTTGCTATTATATATCAAGTCTGCCAGGAGTCGTTGGCAACACACAATAAAACAACATAGTTACTGCCAGAACTATTCTCCCAATCTGCCAGACTTTAATTATCTCATTAAACATTTTCTTCACACAAGGGTTTAACAGATTATACGTTCATAGTTCTTCATTTATTTTTTACAGTCTAAAATTTCTATTATTTTTCTGATTTAGAAACATATGTGGCATAGGATGATGTTCTGGCTGTAGTGACACAGATTTCATTTAAGCAAGTGTTTTTGTTTTTCTAAGGTTCTTATATTGTGAGTATGTGAGACATTCGTAAGTAACCCTTGATCGAACCCAGGTCCGTTGGTTGTGAGCCGAGAAAGTAAACACAAATTCGAGTCATCGAGGAATGACTGACGTTACACAAATAACCCGCACATAAAAGACAGAAGCTTACGACGACGTTTCGGTCCGACTTGGACCATTGTCGTCGTAAGCTTCTGTCTTTTATGTGCGGGTTATTTGTGTATCGTTCCAGTCACGGTATTGTGCCTTTTTGTTATTTAATGACTGACGTCTGACGTAGTGATGGTACCAGAGTAAATCTGTAAATGCTAAAGATAATAAATGAGACACTTGTGCAACATCTTTATTCAGGAGACGTTTCGCCAGCCAGTGGCATCTACAGTTCAGTATGGAAAAAGGTGGAAGATGAGGAGGAGTAGTTTGATGTAATCAGTCCCTCAGCCTGGAGTCGATGTAATCAGTCCCTCAGCCTGGAGTCGATGTAATCAGTCCCTCAGCCTGGAGTCGATGTAATCAGTCCCTCAGCCTGGAGTCGATGTAATCAGTCCCTCAGCCGGGAGTCGATGTAATCAGTCCCTCAGCCTGGAGTCGATGTAATCAGTCCCTCAGCATGGAGTCGATGTAATCAGTCCCTCAGCCTGGAGTCGTGTAATCAGTCCCTCAGCCTGGAGTCGATGTAATCAGTCCCTCAGCCTGGAGTCGATGTAATCAGTCCCTCAGCCGGGAGTCGATGTAATCAGTCCCTCAGCCTGGAGTCGATGTAATCAGTCCCTCAGCATGGAGTCGATGTAATCAGTCCCTCAGCATGGAGTCGATGTAATCAGTCCCTCAGCCTGGAGTCGATGTAATCAGTCCCTCAGCATGGAGTCGATGTAATCAGTCCCTCAGCCTGGCGTCGATGTAATCAGTCCCTCAGCCTGGAGTCGATGTAATCAGTCCTCAGCCTGGAGTCGATGTAATCAGTCCCTCAGCCTGGAGTCGATGTAATCAGTCCCTCAGCCTGGAGTCGATGTAATCAGTCCCTCAGCCTGGAGTCGATGTAATCAGTCCCTCAGCCTGGAGTCGATGTAATCAGTCCCTCAGCCTGGAGTCGATGTAATCAGTCCCTCAGCCTGGAGTCGATGTAATCAGTCCCTCAGCCTGGAGTCGATGTAATCAGTCCCTCAGCCTGGAGTCGATGTAATCAGTCCCTCAGCCTGGAGTCGATGTAATCAGTCCCTCAGCCTGGAGTCGATGTAATCAGTCCCTCAGCCTGGAGTCGATGTAATCAGTCCCTCAGCCTGGAGTCGATGTAATCAGTCCCTCAGCCTGGAGTCGATGTAATCAGTCCCTCAGCCTGGAGTCGATGTAATCAGTCCCTCAGCCTGGAGTCGATGTAATCAGTCCCTCAGCCTGGAGTCGATGTAATCAGTCCCTCAGCCTGGAGTCGATGTAATCAGTCCCTCAGCCTGGAGTCGATGTAATCAGTCCCTCAGCCTGGAGTCGATGTAATCAGTCCCTCAGCCTGGAGTCGATATAATCAGTCCCTCAGCCTGGAGTCGATATAATCAGTCCCTCAGCCTGGAGTCGATGTAATCAGTCCCTCAGCCTGGAGTCGATGTAATCAGTCCCTCAGCCTGGAGTCGATGTAATCAGTCCCTCAGCCTGGAGTCGATGTAATCAGTCCCTCAGCCTGGAGTCGATGTAATCAGTCCCTCAGCCTGGAGTCGATATAATCAGTCCCTCAGCCTGGAGTCGATATAATCAGTCCCTCAGCCTGGAGTCGATATAATCAGTCCCTCAGCCTGGAGTCGATATAATCAGTCCCTCAGCCTGGAGTCGATATAATCAGTCCCTCAGCCTGGAGTCGATATAATCAGTCCCTCAGCCTGGAGTCGATATAATCAGTCCCTCAGCCTGGAGTCGATATAATCAGTCCCTCAGCCTGGAGTCGATATAATCAGTCCCTCAGCCTGGAGTCGATATAATCAGTCCCTCAGCCTGGAGTCGATATAATCAGTCCCTCAGCCTGGAGTCGATATAATCAGTCCCTCAGCCTGGAGTCGATATAATCAGTCCCTCAGCCTGGAGTCAGTGTGATCAGTTCATCAATCAAATGCCAGAGCTACATGACGCATGGTGACCCTTCATAAGTGTGGGACGGTAATAAATATTTTATACAAAACGGGGGGTTATTATTGTGTGTGCCTTTTAAGCTAAATCCACATTAATGGCTTTGCTCATTTTTAAGGCAAGAAAAATGAAAAGGCAATTTAATACCGGGATGAAAGGGGTAAATTTATACCAGATAAAAAAAAGAAACGCTCGTGGGTACAGCCCCACAAGAAGTAAGAGAGAGTGGAAGAAACTAGAGGACGGAAGAAGTGAGCAAAAGACCAATAAAATAGAAAAATCAGAAGTGAGACAAGAAGTGGAGTAATAATTAGTAAAGAAAGCTACAAATGAATTCAGAGTAAAAACTTTTAGATAACCACAGAAGAAATAAATACAAATTACTTAAAGACAGAGAGATGAGCGAGACACTCGTGTAGCAGTTGGCGATTATTATTGAAACGTTTCGCCTATACAGTAAGCTACTTCAGTTAAATACAGAGGAGTCTAAATATGGAGACAGCAGAAGTAGTGGCGAAGTAAAGATGATTTAATCAGCCCATTAACCTTCAAGAAGTAGTTTGGAAGGTGGTCAGTCCCTCAGTCTGCAGAAGAGTTCATCTCCATAGTCTGGGATAAAGCAAACCTGAAGCCTGAGAATGGAGCAATAAATTATCAATAGTGATACCCAGCTGTTGTATACGTTTTACCTACTCTTCAAAACTATATAAAGGCAGAGAACTCTGTGAGGAGGCAGGAATGATAGAAAGCTTGACTGAATTGACAGTCCATTGCCATCTGCTGAGGACGCGGTTAACCTCCAAGAAGATATAAACAAAGTTTTCCAGTGGGCAACGGTAAACAATATGATGTTCAATGAGGACAAATTCCAACTACTCCGTTATGGAAAACTGGAGGAGATAATAACTAGAACAGAGTATACTACTGACTCCGGCCATACAATAGAGCGGAAAAATAATGTAAGGGACCTGGGAGTAGTAATGTCTGAGGATCTCACTTTCAAGGATCACAACAGTGCCACGATCGCACGTGCAAAGAAAATGATAGGATGGATAATGAGAACTTTCAAAACGAGAGATGCCAAGCCCATGATGATCCTTTTCAAATCACTTGTTCTCTCTAGGCTGGAATACTGCTGTACATTAACATCTCCATACAAAGCAGGTGAAATCGCAGATCTAGAGAGTGTACAGAGATCCTTTACTGCACGTATAAGTTCAGTCAAGCACCTTAACTACTGGGAACGCTTGGAAGCACTTGACTTGTACTCGTTGGAACGCAGGAGGGAGAGATATATCATAATCTACACTTGGAAAATCTTGGAAGGAATTGTCCCAAATCTGCACACAGAAATCACTCCCTACGAAAGTAAAAGACTGGGCAGGCGATGCAAAATGCCGCCAATAAAAAGTAGGGGCGCCATTGGTACACTAAGAGAAAACACCATAAGTGTCCGGGGCCCAAAACTGTTCAACAGCCTCCCATCAAGCATTAGGGGAATTGCCAATAAACCCCTGGCTGCCTTCAAGAGAGAGCTGGACAGATACCTAAAGTCAGTGCCGGATCAGCCGGGCTGTGGCTCGTACGTCGGACTGCGTGCGGCCAGCAGTAACAGCCTAGTTGATCAGGCCCTGATCCATCGGGAGGCCTGGTCATGGACCGGGCCGCGGGGGCGTTGATCCCCGGAATAACCTCCAGGTAACCTCCAGGTAACCTCCACGGGGAGTGGATTATAAGTACAGGGAATAATATAACTAAGCTGTCTAGCAAATGTAACGTGTCAGACACATAGTCTTGGTATATGCCTTACTGTGTCATGACAAAAGGGACACATCCCGAAGTGATGCACATTGGCAAGTGTCTTTCCAGTATTTATGTATATGGGGATAGACAGGTGACACTGAGTTAAAGTTTGGCATCATTGATGTCTATAATCAAGCGATGGAGAACATAAACAACGAAAGCATGATAAACAAGAAGAATTAAACTACAGATAGCACAGGTTAAGGGGGAAGGAAGACCCTCATAAACCTACTAGCGTTTTATAACATAACACTAATTAAGAAGGAAAGAGAAGGGTTAATGAGGCGCATGTTTCTGGATCATGTATAGGCACTTGGCAGTTTCCAGGCAAGAGGCCGGAAACTAGAAGAGCAGGCAAGAATAGCATGAAACGTGCTATGCTGGATTAAGGAATATCTTAGAGGTAGGAACGCAATGAAGACAGAAACACATCTCCATATGGGTCCTTATCTATCGCTAAACCTTGCCAGAATAAAGAAAGGTGGAACCAGGGAGGGCATGATTATCAACAAAATGATATAGAACTTCATAGGGCAAGCAAAGACAGCTTGTCAGGAGACTAAGGGGAGTCACAGAGAAGTGAGAACGTATTTCCTCCATCTGAGGATTACGAAGTGAAGTGATCTGAATGGAACAAACAGGTTGTATCACGAGGGCTGAAAACAGCAGATATTACCAGGATACATCAGGGATATATTTAAAAAGAAATATTATTCATCATAAACTTACTAATAAAGGCAATAGTGGTAGATTTCATTCACAGTTTCAAAAGAATGTGTGATAGGGACTATCAGGATGGCTCGTGAGCAATTAAGAGGCAGGACCAGGAGCCAAGATTGTACCCGAAGAAAATTAATTAGTTGAGGAAGTAAGCTCGCGTATGCGCGCACTAGAGAAAGTACAAAGGTTTGCGACAAGGTTAGTTCCAGAGCTAAGGGGAATGTCCTATGAAGAAAGATTAAGGGAAATCGGCCTGACGACACTGGAGGACAGGAGGGTCAGGGGAGACATGATAACGACATATAAAATTCTGCGTGGAATAGACAAGGTGGACAAAGACAGGATGTTCCAGGGAGGGGACACAGAAACAAGAGGCCACAATTGGAAATTGAAGACACAAATGAGTCAGAGAGATATTAGGAAGTATTTCTTCAGTCATAGAGTTGTCACGCAGTGGAATAGCCTAGAAAATGACGTAGTGGAGGCAGGAACCATACACAGTTTTAAGACGAGGTTTGATAAAGCTCATGGAGCGGGGAGAGAGAGGGCCCAGTAGCAACCGGTGAAGAGGCGGGGCCAGGAGCTAAGACTCGACCCCTGCAACCACAAATAGGTGAGTACACACACACACACACACACACACACACACACACACACACACACACACACACACACACACACACGCACACACACGCACGCGCTTGCGCGCGCTCACGGTTCCACACAGTTCCACAAAAGAGATTGGTGCAAAAGCTGGAGGACCAAGCAGGGATAACAGGGAAGGCACTGCAATGGATAAGGGAATACCTGTCAGGAAGACAACAGCGAGTCATGGTACGTGGCGAGGTGTCAGAGTGGGCACCTGTGACGAGCGGGGTGCCACAGGGTCAGTGGTAGGACCGGTGCTGTTTCTGGTATTTGTGAACGACATGATGGAAGGAATAGACTCCGAAGTGTCCCTGTTTGCAGATGATGTGAAGTTGATGAAGTCAATGGGACGAGGACCAGGCAGAACTACAAAGGGATCTAGACAGGCTGCAGGCCTGGTCCAGTAACTTGCTCCTGGAGTTCAACCCCACCAAGTGCAAAGTCATCAAGATTGGGAAAAGGCAAAGAAGACCACAGACGGAGTAGAGTCTAGGGAGGCCAGAGACTATAAACCTCACTCAAGGAAGAAGATCTTGTGGTGAGTATAACACCAGGCACATCTCCTGAAGCGCACATCAACCAAATAACTGCTGCAGCGTGCGGGCGCCAAGCAAACCTAAGAACAGCATTCTGACATCTAAATAAGGAGCCATTCAGGACCCTGTTCACTGTTTACGTTAGGCCCATATTGGAGTATGCAGCGCCAGTTTGGAACCCACACCTAGCCAAGCACGTAAATAAACTAGAGAAAGTGCAAAGGTTTTCAACATGACTAGTCCCTGAGCTAAGGGGTATGTCCTACGAGGAGAGGTTAAAGGAAATCGACCTGACGACACTGGAGGACAGGAGAGATAGGGGGGACGTGATAACGACATACAAAATACTGAGAGGAATCAACAAGGTGGACAGAGACAGGATGTTCAATAGATGGGACACAGTAACAAGGGGACACAGTTGGAAGTTGAAGACTCAGATGAATCATAGGGATGTTAGGAAGTATTTCTTCAGAGTTGTCAGGAAGTGGAATAGTCTGGGAAGTGATGTAGTTGAAGCAGGATCCATTCATAGCTTGAAGAAGAGGAATGATAAAGCTCATGGAGCGGAAAGAGTGACCGAGTAGCGGCCAGTGAAGAGGTGGGGCCAGGAGCTGTAAATCGACCCCTGCAATCACAACTAGGTGAGTTAACACACAGAGACAAAGAACCCTACCTCTGGCTTCACTGACTCAAGTTTCTCCCGCAGATAAAGAATGCTCCGAACCTGACGACTACTTATCCCTCAGGGTTCAAGTACAGAGAACAAATACCTCTGGACAACGTTCCTGCCAAGGTGAGTAGGGTGAGGGTGTGGGAGAGGAAGGGTGAGGGTGTGGGAGAGGAAGGGTGTGGGTGTGGGAGAGGAAGGGTGAGGGTGTGGTAGAAGAAAGGCTGAGGGTGTGGTAGAAGAAAGGCTGAGGGTGTGGGAGAAGAAAGGGTGAGGGTGTGGGAGAAGAAAGGGTGAGGGTGTGGGAGAAGAAAGGGTGGGGTGTGGGAGAGAAAGGGTGAGGGAAGTTGGGGAGAGAAGGGTGAGGGTGTGGGAGAGGAAGGGTGTGGGTGTGGGAGAGGAAGAGTGAGGGTGTGGGAGAGGAAGGGTGTGGGTGTGGGAGAGGAAGGGTGAGGTGTGGGAGAGGAAGGGTGAGGGTGTGGGAGAGAACGGGTGAGGGGTGGGAGAGAAAGAGTGAGGGTGTGGGAGGAAGGGTGAGGGTGTGGGAGAAGAAAGGGAGGGTGTGGGAGAAGAAAGGGTGAGGGTGTGGGAGAAGAAGGGTGAAGGTGTGGCAGAAGAAAGGGTGAGGGTGTGGGAGAGGAAGAGGTGAGGGTGTGGGAGAGGAAGGGTGAGTTGTGTGAGAGGAAGGAGTGAGGGTGTGGGAGAGGAAGGGTGAGGGTGTGGGAGAAGAAAGGGTGAGGGTGTGGGAGAAGAAAGGGTGAGGGTGTGGGAAAGGAAGGGTGAGGGTGTGGGAGAGGAAGGGTGAGGGTGTGGGAGAGGAAGGGTGGGTGTGGAGAGGAAGGTGAGGTGTGGGAGAGGAAGGGTGGGTGGGAGAGGAAGGGTGAGGGTGTGGGAGAGGAAGGGTGTGGGTGTGGAGAGGAAGGGTGAGGGTGTGGGAGAGGAAGGGTGGGGTGTGGGAGAGGAAGGTGAGGGTGTGGGAAGAGGAAGGGTGAGGAGTGGGGGGGAGAGGAAGGGTGAGGGTGTGTGGGAGAGGAAGGGTGTGGGTGTGGGAGAGGAAGGTGAGGGTGGGGAGAGGAAGGGTGAGGTGTGGGAGAGGAAGGGGTGGGTGTGGAGAGGAGTGAGGGTTGGGAGGAGGTGGGTTGGGAGAGGAAGGGTGAGGGTGTGGGAGAGGAAGGGTGAGGGTGTGGGAGAGGAAGGTGAGGGTGTGGAGAGGAAGGGTGAGGGTGTGGGAGAGGAAGGGTGAGGGTGTGGGAGAGGAAGGGTGAGGGTGTGGGGAGGAAGGGTGAGGGTGGTGGGAGAGGTAAGGGTGTGGGTGTGGGAGAGGAAGGTGAGGGTGTGGGAGAGGAAGGTGAGGTGTGGAGAGGAAGGGTGAGGGTGTGGGGAGAGGAAGGGTGAGGTGTGGGGAGAAGGGTGAGGGTGTGAGAAGAGGGTGGGGGTGGAGAAAGGGTGAGGGTGGGGGAGAGTAAGGGTGAGGGTGTGGGAGAAGGAAGGGTGAGGGTGTGGGAGAGGAAGTGAGGGGGTGGGAGAGAAGGGTGAGGGTGTGGGAGAGGAAGGGTGAGGGTGTGGGAGAGAAGGGTGAGGTGTGGGAGAAGAAGGTGAGGTGTGGGAGAGAAAGGTGTGAGGTGTGGGAGAAAGGGTGAGGGTGTGGGGAGAAAGGGTGAGGGTGTGGGGAGAAGGGTGAGGGTGTGGGAGAGAAAGGTGATGTGTGGAGAAGAAGGGTAGGGTGTGGGAGGAAAAGGGTGAGGGTGTGGGAGAGGAAGGTAGTGAGAGATGTGGGAGAGATTAGGTGAGGGTGTTGATAGAAGGGTGAGGTGTGGAGAAGATGTTGAGTGGTTGAAGAAAAAGGGGAGGTGTCGAGGAGTAAAATGAAGGGTGGAAAGTGAGGAGAGGAGGTTTGAGTTCGCAGAGAAGGTGAGTGTGTGGGAGAGGAAGGTGTGGGAGAGAAGGTGAGGGTGTGGGAGAGAAGGGTGAGGGTGGGAGAGAAGGTGAGGGTTTGGGGGAAGAAGGGTGAGGGTTTGGGAGAAGAAAGGTGAGGGTGTGGAGAGGAAGGGTGAGGTGTGGAGAGAAGGTTGAGGGTGTGGAGAGGAAGGGTGAGGGTGTGGGAGAAGAAAGGTGAAGGGGGTGGGAGAAGAAGGGAGGGGTGGGAGAAAAAAGGTTAGGGTGGGAAGAAAGGTGAAGGGGGTGGAGAAAAGGGTGAGAGTGTGGGGAAGAAGGGTAGGGTTGGGGGAAAGGGAGGGTTTTGGAGAAAAAGGGTGAAGGTGGGAAGAAAGGGTGGGGTTGGGGGAAGAAGGGTGAGTGTGGGAGAAGAAGGTAGGTGTGGGAGAGGAAGGGTGGGAGAGGAATGTAGGGTGTGGGAGAGGTATGAGTGTTTGGAACGGATGGGGGGTTTGGGGAAGGAAGGGGAATGAGGGAAAATGTTAGGGCTTTAATACAATAAAGGGATAGTAGAGGCTTTGGGTTCAAAACAATCCCGGAAGGCTCCTCTGAGCTTCACACAGCCACAAGTTACAATATGTAAGGAAGGCTCCTCTGGCTTTACACAGCCAAAGTTACAATGATGTCAGGAAGGCTCCTCGAGCTTCACCACGCCACAAGTTTAAAAATGATGTCAGAAGAAGGCTCCTCTGAGCTTCATCACAGCCACAAGTTACAATGATGTCGAGAAGGCTCCTCTGAGCTAAACCACAGCCACAAGAAAACAATGATTCAGAAGAAGGCCCCCTCTGAGCTTCACCACAGCCACAATTACAATGAGTCAGAAGAAGGCTCCTCTGAGCTTCATCACAGCCAAAAGTTACAATGATGTCAGAGGAAGGCTCCTCTGAGCCCACCACAGCCACAAGTTACAATGATGTCAGAGGAAGGCTCCTCTGAGCTTCATCACAGCCACAAGTTACAATGATGTCAGAAGAAGGCTCCTCTGGGGCTCCACCACAGCCACAAAGTTACAATGATGTCAGAGGAAGGCTCCTCTGAGCTTCACCACAGCCACAAGTTACAATGATGTCAGAGGAAGGCTCCTCTGAGCTTAAACCACAGCCACAAGTTACAATGATGTCAGGGGAAAGGGCTCCTCTGAGCTTCACCCCAGCCACAAGTTACAATGATGTCAAGAAGGCTCCTCTGAGCTTCAACCACACCCCACAAGTTACAATGATTTTCAGAGGAAGGCTCCTCTGAGCTTCACCACAGCCACAAGTTACAATGATGTCAGGGGAAGGGCTCCTCTGAGCTTCACCACAGCCACAAGTTAAAATGATGTCAGGAAGGCTCCTCTGAGCTTCACCACAGCCACAAGTTACAATGATGTCAGAGGAAGGCTCCTCTGAGTTTTCAACCACAGCCACAAGTTACAATGATGTCAGAGGAAGGCTCCTCTGAGCTTCATCACAGTCACAAGTTACAATGATGTCAGAGGAAGGGTCCTCTGAGCTTCACCACAGCCACAAGTTACAATGATGTCAGAGGAAGGCTCCCCTGAGCTTCACCACAGCCACAAGTTACAATGATGTCAGAGGAAGGCTCCTCTGAGCTTCACCACAGCCACAAGTTACAATGATGTCAGAGGAAGGCTCCTCTGAGCTTCACCACAGCCACAAGTTACAATGATGTCATAGGAAGGCTCCTCTGAGCTTCACCACAGCCATAAGTTACAATGGTGTCAGAGGAAGGCTCCTCTGAGCTTCACCACAGCCACAAGTTACAATGATGTCAGAGGAAGGCTCCTCTGAGCTTCACCACAGCCACAAGTTACAATGATGTCAGTGGAAGGCTCCTCTGAGCTTCACCACAGCCACAAGTTACAATGATGTCAGAGGAAGGCTCCTCTGAGCTCCACCACAGCCACAAGTTACAATGATGTCAGAGGAATGCTCCTCTGAGCTTCACCACAGCCACAAGTTACAATGATGTCAGAGGAAGGCTCCTCTGAGCTTCACCACAGCCACAAGTTACAATGATGTCAGGGGAAGGCTCCTCTGAGCTTCACCACAGCCACAAGTTACAATGATGTCAGGGGAAGGCTCCTCTGAGCTTCATCACAGCCACAAGTTACAATGATGTCAGGGGAAGGCTCTCTACCAGTGTTTGTCGAGGAGTGTTTACTGTGTGTTTGAGTTGCGTTTATGCAGATGTGTTTGCAATGTGTTTACCGAGGTGTACTTGTAGTGTGTTTTTAAGGTGTGTTTCTAGCGTGTTTGTTGAGGTGAATTAGTTGAGGTGAAGAAGAATGTAGGTTCTGAGCCACACTTAGTAAATTCCTCTTTGGATTGACTTTAAACTTCCAAAGCTGTTGAATCTTGCTCAGCGGGAAGTTCAAATTGGTTTTGTGATGCGTAGGGGTCAATTTGCTATTTATAAATATTGAGGTAATTACGAAATGGGATATATTAGTTTGTATGCTATAACTTCTAAAAGTCTTGTCTATTTGGCCTCATATAATCAATGCTGATACTTAACTGCATTAGAAAAGTAGACCGCACTCTGTACTGCTCCTTTTGCGTGTATCGAGGTAGGTGGGGGGGGGGCTGGGTTTATGAGATTCGGGAAATATACTCGTAAGACCTAACGACCAAAGCATATATAGTTGTCTTTATGCTGGTAGAGGTGTTTTGAACCCACACGGCTTTAGCACTTCTCCATGATAGCAATAATAATAAAAATTTCTTTACTAGGATATATGAAGAAAATTGTTTACTAATGTCAGTTCTGATATTTATGATATCAGAATTAATTAGAAATATTTCATTCGTTGAGCGATCCAAGAAAGGTATACCCGTATCTTATAACCCCAGCCCTCTCTACCTCGATGATCCGAGTAACGTATCCCCGTATCCCATAATCCCAGCCTCCTCTTCCGGCATAAGAATCCGGTATAAGTTTCTAATGCAGTTGGTTATGAGTATTGAAGGTTTGAAAGCGATCAGAAGAGGCGTTGCCAAGTTATCGCACCAAACCTGATGTCCCAGTTTCATTAAAAATGGCAATGTGATTATTTTCCTCCTTCAGAAACCAGAGTTTACACATCTTTTGTGAGTTTCCAGGGAATAGATAAGACTTTAAACACTCCAGCAACATTCACAACCTGATAAGTTGGTTAATATGCCTTTATCTCTCTCTCTCTCTCTCTCTTCTCTCTCTCTCTCTCTCTCTCTCTCTCTCTCTCTTTCTCTCTTTCCACATGTTGATTATTTTCTTAACATTTCTGAATGTTCAAAAAATTCCCTTTATTGACTATATAATATTTTATCATTCTTCAGATTATTTATTTATATTTTTTTTATTTCTGTTATTATCCCTATGATTATTTTATATCACGGCTCATATATTCCTAATTATCATCATTATTATTCTTCTGTTTATATTTATTTCCCCACAGCTGTGAACTTTATTATTCCAGCGGCCTCAACTTTATTATTCCAGTCGCCGAGCTCAAAGATCTCGAATTTTTTAATAAACAGAATCCTTGAAAATGTTAATGACAGGTTTCCTGCTCTGGGAATTAAAAATTCAAGAATTTATTAATTAATTTTCTTTTTTGTATGTTCCTTGACCTCCAGTGAGTCTATTAGAAAATTCACATATATTTACCTATTATTATTATTATTATTATTATTATTATTATTATTATTATTATTACTTGTGTGGACAACCACTTGTCCTAAACACCGGTCTCACCACCAAAGAGTCTCTAACACCAGCTCACACCCGGACTCATCCTTACTCACCTCTCGTGTGTCCAAGCGAAAACAAAGAAACAGGTTCGGTGGTCGCCGTTCCCCTCCTGAATAAGCCATCCAATTTTCTCCGAACATTTCAAGCCGGTCGTGTTGACAGCAGCAGATTCGTGTGTCCTAATCTGCCTCCCGTGTATCGACTGTATATTGTGAGCAGTGAGACCCCTTCTCCAAGCAATAGTATCAGCAAGGAATAATGAGTGTTGTCTCCCGACGCTCTTGAGTTCCATGGAGGAGTTTTTACCTTGGATTTTGTGACCAGAAAGGCCACCACCAGTATCATGTGTGAAAAAATCTCGTTGTGGATGTATATGCTCAGACATACCAACTCATAAGGAGAGACAAAAGCACAGTATTGCTTGTTCTATATTTTCTGACTAATAACCGAGGTTTTTAACATATTCCGGGAGGGAAGCTAGCTTAATCACACATATCAACATCAAGGAAATCTTACCTGGGAAAATGATAACTCTGTGTATGAGTTAATACAATCATTTATTACTCTAACAAGTAATATATGGGAATACAGAGTTATTAGTAATTATACCACTTAAACAAAGTTACTGGGAGAGGAGAAATATAACAATGTGGTTAATACAATGAGCTATTTAACTAGTATGAGAAATGTCAATAACTTATATTACGATTAAAAAGATTCTCTTAAATGCCTGAGAATACCACAGCCACGCTACTCTTCATGGAGACTGGACCCCCGTCTGTTCCATCCTAGCCAGCTAGCAAGATACAACAGGAGTGTAAGTGAATGAACCACAGACGGGAATGGCTAGTGAATGGTATGAGCTGCTTTTGAAAACAAAGACTGGCTGGAGTGAGGAAAAATGAAGAGTGGGCGATGTCAAGTAAGTTTTGTGTATGCTGTGCTAGAGTAGGAAGCAGAGGTTTGAAGTTGTAGGAGTGTATTGGTGCAGGAGGCAGGATGGATAAATGAGGGAAAGATTAAGCATAAATGGCAATAAGGGAGAAATTCTTTAAGTGCAAACAACGAAATGTAGGCAGAGATTTCATGGAAGGAACAAGGAGGAACGGGAATTGCTAGAAAGACAACAAAGACAAAGGAATTAAGGAAGTGTTTGAGGCAATAATCAAGTTAAAAGTGAGAAATGCGGTTAGGATAGATGGAATTAAGGCAAGGATTATGAAGGAAATAATGGTATCTAAGGATTAAAAGTGAGTCTGTATAACTTTCTTTGAACAGAGCAAAAGGGTAAAAGGTATAATGCTTTTCAAACGTGATCTGATATCTCTCAAGAATCACTGCAGCGAAATCCGATTAGAAATAATATTGTCCTGTTTGTAAAACCTTAGACCAGAATGTTACTTCTACAATCCTCAAGAAAAATAATTTAGAGAGGCAGGAAACGAGATCAGCTAAAAAAAAAAAAAAAACATTGCTTGCCTGAGCTTTATATCAACGACTTTAAAAATTACTAAATACATATAGAGACGAAGTGGTTGAGTAGGAAGGAGCGACGATATAACCTGGGTAAGTACAGAAAGAAAGAAAATAAGTTACACATACAAAAAGTAATCTTTGGCAAGGTTATGTAGCGGAGAAACTCACAAGTGCTCTCTCCATCTTCCTAAGCATGATTCTTACATTTTTCAATTCTGTCTTTCCAGCAAGTTTGTGCTGTTGTTTGTTAAGACATCTCACGTGGTTGTTTGCTTTCTTCAGGTAGTGATGTCGCAGCCAGCCTTCAAGATCAGTCAACCCATCAGGCGACGAGGCGATGACAAGTGGCCTCCCAAGGGTGTTAACCAACCTGTACAAGAAGAGGTGAGTTTGTGTTTAACATGTTAGTCGCTGAGAGGGACTTTTAGGAGAGCTGAGAAGAGTGGAGAGAGAGAGAGAGAGAGAGAGACAGACAGACAGACAGACAGACAGACAGACAGACAAACAGAGACAGACAGACAGACAAACAGAGACAGACAGACAGATTTGGAAAAGTGCATACAGGAGAGAGAAAGACTTGAAGTGCAGAGAAAATCTCGAGAAAGGGCGAGAGGACAGATGATAAAAATACAGAAATAGAAGCAGAGGAATCACATGGAGAGTGGAGAGAAGGAGAGACTAAGAACATGGACAGAAGATAATTAATGGGGTTATGTGGAAGAGAGAAAGAAAAAAAATTGATTGTAGAGGGAAATAGAAGAGAGAAATATGACTTGAGAAAATGAATAGGAAAAAGGTGAGTAGCATCAAAGGATATGTAAAGGGAAAATACCAAAGAGAAAAGTATAATAACATTAATTAACATCCACACAAAAAGCTCGTGGTTGCCTTCTTCCTCTTCTCCAGCTTTAATTAAGTACTATACTCACTATGGTCATTAGGACTGTGATCCTGTCGATTTCCTCACCTCGAGACAGTTATTTTAATGCTTAGCCCTTGTGGCTTAGCGCTTCTCTTTGATTATAATAATAATAATATTTTAATGCTTATTGGGAGGCTATTCCTTGCCCATCAGCATTGTATACTTACCTTCGAAGTATACATTCCTCATTCTTCCACAGAAAAAAAAATCGTTTTCCGTGTTAGCTTTTTTCGTCCTTCGTTTTATATCTTAACACTTTCGTCATATGTGCCATAAAGAAGTAATTCTCCCCTCCCCCCAAAAAAATACTAGGCTTGTTGGGCTAGGCCTATTAATCAACATTCTGTACCTTGGAACACATGTGTCCTTGTATAAGTCTGAAGTGTCCTAAAATAACGATAATTCTGAATATTTTATTGTGTATATATAATGGTTCTCTTCCACTCGTCTTAAGTCTCTCTCTCCGTCCCGTCCGTTGTAGTGTCGTACGTCTGTCGTAGAAAATCCCATGTGTATCGTAGTCTGAAGCTCCTTTATTGTTACTCACATTGCTGGAAGTAGAGTTTGAGAAATATGACACTTTTTTTTCAATAGGTTAGGTTAGGTAAGGTTCGTCAGGAAACAGGACAAATGTTTCCTGACGCGGGTCTTAGTCAGATGATGACCCGCCTTTGGAGCTTTTGGTCATCTGACCGAGGCCTTCCGCTGGCTTACCGGTCCACCCCTTTAAAAATTATGGTCGTTTATAACCATTTTTTTTTTCAATGAATCTAACCGAACAAAGTTCATATTTTTTACTTGTGTTTAGTAGAGGAGAGAAAACTAATTTTATCAGTATATTTCTATACACTAAGACTAGATTAATAAAATGAAAAAATAAGTTCAGGACTAATAAAGAATGAAATACGGTTGTAATCAAACATGAACCAGAACAATATCAGAGAAAGATAACTAGTAATATTAACAGCCCAAAAGAACTGATTGATTTCTTGAAAGAGCAAATCCGGTTAGCAGACTATATCTTATTCTTAAGTAATATGTTTTTGTCGTCCAAAATACATTGCATAATTTGTGGTTTTAGTGTATTAATTCATTTATTGTATTAGTTCATTTAAACTACATTATTTGTACGGTAAAACAAATAATCATCATTACTTTCTCTCTGGCTGCATTACTTAGGTTTCATGTAAGTGGAACGTCGCATTACTGAAGATCTCCTTGCACTCCACGTATCATTTTAATCATAATTTATTTTACTATTCACCGCATCTCTCTCACAGGTTCGTGAATTCGTTAAGCCCAAGAAGATGAGCCGGAATTACGGCGAGTTCTTCGCTCAGAACGCCTTGCCTCACAACTATGCCGCCTACCGTCCTCCCCCAGGCACACAGCATCATGATGTAGACGAAGATGGGGAGGAGGAGGAGGGAGAGGAGGAAGATGCTGGTGTCTCCAACATGTAATCTTTCTTCCTTCCTCCAGCACCTCAATACAAACTCCACCACAAGCATCTGGTTATAACTTTCTATATGAAAAATACGACAAAACATTATCTGCTCACTCCTCATGTCCCTTAATATTCAATCTATTTCTGTTTTTGTTCTTTCGATTACTTTAACACAAGTTTATCGACAGCCAGAAATACATTAAAAACAGTTCAGTTATTAAATATCCTCTCAATTCGGCAAGCAAGCAGCTTCTGACTATGTAGCTCGGTGTCTGATATTCTTAACAATTATAAAATGAGTATGCCGTTTATAGCCTTAATTCCTTCGTGACTCGTGCAACGGAACTCTAAGACAATATTATACACATATTTTGCACCCAAACTAGATTACATGGATGCACTTAACAAAGTTATGGCTGCTGCTGCCGCCTCTAACCAACGATTACATTGATTATTTCTAAATTACTGGTCTATACATATTCCAACGTATACTAGGTAGCATGTATACCGAAACCAGCCATTACACTATACCAATTCAAACCGGTGATTATCCTCAGAATATAAAAGAAATATTCACATGTTTCTCTTTTATCTTATTTATTATATTTTATTATACCTATAAAATTATAAATATATTTATATTTTTAACTGGAACCATAGAAAATATTCTGCTTCCCCTTGGATCCGCTGAGCTGGAGTTATATGGTAACGTCAAGAATGACCAGAATTTGAGTTTAACACACAACTTTTGTTTTAAAAACACAAAAAAATTATCACTCTAGCTTCTATAACACAATTTTATTGTTGAAACATGCTATTTGTTACACCAAAATAAAATATGTTCTCTTAAGCTGTTTTGTTTAATGCTTTGCAAATATTAGGTCTCTCCTTAGTTTTACAAATATGAAACTGTTTACGGATTACCCGCAAAGGAACCTCGTGATGATGTTTTGATCCACTGTCTACAGTGGTTCTAAGTTCCTCTCATGAGTGTGGGATGTTTGTCAGATGTTCCAGCCACGGTATTTTGACTTTCTATCCATCACAGAAACTATTATCTGATATGTTTTTTTCATCCGAGGTAAGATACACTATGTCCAGTTTCGTTTGTTTCTCTACTCATATCATAACTGGATGTTCAGTTCACCTTTTTTTTTGATTGACTTTCAACTCTTCTGTCTGTCCCATTTTCCAATACCACCGAGTGATTCAATGATATTACTAGATTTTTGATGTTAAGCCAATTACATAAAACAAAATGATTATGGTGTGCATGTCTTGATTATAGCATAAACAAAATTAATAATATCACAAGAGCAATACATATTCCGTCCTATATTATGGTTAAGCCTTAATCAACTTAAGCATAATTTCGTTTTCTCTGATGACAAACGGAAGGCCCAGTAGGTTAAGAAAACGGGAAGATCATCTCAAGACAACTATATAAACTTGGACTTCAAGACATCGCACTTTTGCTATGCTAATTTTTGTATAAAATAAATATTTATGAACTAAGTATGTTTCTCTTCCCCTGACAGCACTTGCAACCATGTTCGATAATTTTAGGTGAGAGCAGCGCTATAAAATGGCTCTTGGCCTGGTGGCAAAAGCTCTCGCTTCACACGGTGAGGGGTCCGGGTTCGATTCCCGGTAAAGATTGAAACATTGGGCGTGTTTCCTTACACTGGTTGTCCATGTTTACCCATCAGTAATAATGGGTACCTAGGTGATAGTGGACTGGTGTAGGTCGCATCCTGGGACAAAACTGACCTAATTTGCGGGAAATGCTATGCGTAACAAGCGGTTTTCTATATAGTAGTGTGTTATTGATGTCAACTGTGGCCTGTATACCTCGTACTTGTAAAAATAAATATATAATTATAATAAGATGACAATGACTTCCGATTAGGAGTCCTGTCCTAGAAGCTTAGGAGAGCTCAGGAAAGTCAGTGTGGTTATTTCCACAGCTGTCTTTTTATATTTTATACGAAAGTACTGGGTTTATTCCCAGTACTTTCGGTTATGTATACATGTGCATATATACGCTTGTATTAATATTGGTAGAATTACCGACAATATGTTAAGTAAAGGGACACAAATATCACTTGTATTTGTTTTTTTACTTAACATATATATGCTTCGGTGGCTCTGAGGGACTAGGGAGGGCGAAAATCTTCTTTAGTTCATGCTGGTACAGTTAGAAAGCGAGGCATTCGTTTACAGTGACAACACAGGTGTACGAAGACCACATTGAGAAGTATCACCATGGAGGAAGCAGCACCAGTTGCCAGAATACATGGACGTAAATGTATAGTGTAGATAAACGCCAGTTACCAAATGGGTGAGTAACGGACAACACACCTTGGTGGATTACAATATTAATAACAAATAAAGAACAAACATTTGCAATAAAATTGTATTACTGCTAAGATACACCAGTAGATGAGCAACGTCTTGTCACACGATCATAAAGGGTTGCCTAGTTGTTAAGCAGTGAGGAACGTTTGGCTGGAGGTTGGATGTGGCAGTAGCGCCCTGGTTGTGTGCGTGTCTTGAGGTAGTGGTACTGTCTACCAGGTGTTTTCCACTAACATAGATTTTCCCTGCTTCTTGAAGGCCATGGTAGTAGCTGCCTAGTGTCATGGTAGTAACTTGAGAGTACTTGACTTAATGCTTAGTGTTTTGTGCTGTCGTGGAGCTCACTGCAGCAGCTTTCTTCCCCACAGACTTATGGAGTAAGTATATTCATTATGCTGGCGTGTTTCCAATGCTAAGAAAATGTACCTTGTAACTTTATCTGGTCACATTACTTCGACCTACAAACAAATAACCACTCATGGCCTTGACCGGGCCGCGGGGGTAGTTGACCCCAGGTAGACGCTTCAGGTAGACGTTTCAGGTAGACGCCCACACGCTCTCACTCGCCCCTTTCTCCCTAATTAGCAAACCAACCACCCACCCAACTAGCCGCTCCGTCACTCACCCACTGACCCACCTATCAACAAAACGGGAGGTATGCAAGGCAAATAAACTATTACAGTGAATAAGAGATTTTCTAATCAAATGGAAAACTGACAGTTACAGGCGGCAAAATGTCTCCATGGGAAAATGTAACCAGCGGCATCCCTCAAGGATCAGTACCTGCCCCAAATGATTATTTTGACTTATGTAAATTATTTGATTTATATGAACTGATTTGTACAAATTATTTGTCAGCATAATACTAATCTCTTAGAACGTTTAAGTGTGACAAAATAATCATATGAACCACGAGTAATGCAAATTTCAGTTAACTATGAAGAACTACGTTATTAAAGTAGGGTGGTAGGTAGATGATGGAATTTCACGTAGATGAGTACCATGTAAGAAAGTATGATGTATATATTAGATAATTATAAGAATGAGTTATTGTACTCACACGTAAATTGGATCGCTCTCTCTCGCGTAAATATTTTCCCCTGTCCATTATCTATCCAATTAGCTACTGGTAGCTACCTAGTAGCGACCAGTGAAGAGGCGGGGCCAGGAGTTATGAATCTACCCCTGCAATCACAATTAAATGAGTATAATTAGGTGAGTACATACATACATATCTATCTATTAAATAAGGAGAGGAAAAGACTGACGGACAGGCAGAGAATTAAGGTGTAATATTTTTTTTTTTTTAATTCAGTGCGAGAAAGTTATAGATGCAATATCGTGTCCCACTCTGACCTTCCCTCGCCTTCTCTCTCACGTATTCCTGCTCCAGTCATAAGAAATTATTTTTTTCGTAACAATACGGACTTTATTCACGAGGGAGGAGGTGACGGTGACAGAGTAGTTGGAGGTGACGGTGACGGGGGAGTGGTTAGAGGTGACGGTGACGGAGGAGTAGTTGGAGGTGACGGTGACGGAGGAGTGGTTAGAGGTGACGGAAGGGGTGAAGAAGATCTGCGCTCTGTGTGGGGAAGCGTAAGGTGGTGGTGCTGGGTTAACTAACGGTTCTTAGAGATGTAACTGTGGTTCGACTCCTCCTCGTTCTCTATCCAGGAACCGGAGCTCAGCCCTCGGATGAGTGGAAAAGTTGAACATGTGTCCATGCACCTGCTGACCTTGTTCACGTAGTAGTAGGTACCTGGGTGTCAGCTGACTGGTGTGGGTGGCATCCTGGGGGAAAGGATTAGAGGACCCCCAGTGGAAGTAAGCCAGTTTAATGACAGGGTTTTTTTGGGTTATTCTGGGTTACTAACTCTCCATGTTAATAATCCAAACAAAATCTATTTTTGGATCCTCCACCTCCCGCCCTCTTACCCTGTTTGTTCAACTTCTACAGTAGTTTGTTTCACTTGGAGCAGAATCCTGCGTCAACCTTCTGCTTCAGTCCTGTTACTAATCTATCAAAATCATGATTAAACTCCCTGGTTTCTTCAGCTAGAATTTAGTTGATTTTTTTTTGTGCCGTCGGAGACATAACTTAGACCATTGCTTAGTTACATTTGATATAGACTTTAGTTTCCCGTGATTCCAAATATTTCGTGTTACTATGTTATATATTTTCTTAAGAGGCCAAATTAGAAACTTGGTGTGGGGGGGAGGGGTGAATTCTGTAATATTATAACGTATAGAATTGTGCAAAGTATTAAGTCATGCAAAATTTAAATACAATTCATAATTGGCCTCCTAACTTATTCATATGAGAAACCCGTGCTAAAAACTCGCAATTTTTTATGAATAATTGTAATTAATAATATTGGGTAATAATACAAACCATGATGACACAGACTGGGTTACAGTCTTACCAAATGTGATGGAATAAACACATTACAAAATGTGATGGAATAAACACATTACAAAATGTGATGGAATAAACACATTACAAAATGTGATGGAATAAACACATTACAGATTGTGATGGAATAAACACATTACCAAATGTGATGGAATAAACACATTACAAAATGTGATGGAATAAACACGCTACAAAATGTGATGGAATAAACACGTTACAAAATGTGATGGAATAAACACGTTACAAAATGTGATGGAATAAACACACTACAAAATGTGATGGAATAAACACATTACAAAATGTGATGGAATAAACACATTACAAAATGTGATGGAATAAACACATTACAAAATGTGATGGAATAAACACATTACCAAATGTGATGGAATAAACACATTACGAAATGTGATGGAATAAACACATTACAAAATGTGATGGAATAAACGCATTACCAAATGTGATGGAATAAACACATTACAAAATGTGATGGAATAAACACATTACAAAATGTGATGGAATAAACACATTACAAAATGTGATGGAATAAACACATTACGAAATGTGATGGAATAAACACATTACAAAATGTGATGGAATAAACGCATTACCAAATGTGATGGAATAAACACATTACAAAATGTGATGGAATAAACACATTACGAAATGTGATGGAATAAACACATTACGAAATGTGATGGAATAAACACATTACAAAATGTGATGGAATAAACACATTACAAAATGTGATGGAATAAACACATTACAGATTGTGATGGAATAAACACATTACAGATTGTGATGGAATAAACACGTTACAAAATGTGATGGAATAAACGCATTACCAAATGTGATGGAATAAACGCATTACAAAATGTGATGGAATAAACACATTACCAAATGTGATGGAATAAACACATTACAGATTGTGATGGAATAAACACGTTACAAAATGTGACATCCAGAAAAAAGAAAGCGAGTTTAGTCACTGTTTTTTTGTATACAAATCCTCAGCTATGAATGTGCAGAATTTTAAAATAACATTGAAAATAGAATAGTCCCCTGAAAACACCAACAATGAATAAATGTAGAAAACTCTGTGAAACCTGGGCCAGTGAGAAGCTTAGTTACAAATCAATTAGGTTAGAAACAACCTTGATTTATATAATAACTATCTAGCAAGGAACGCATCAAACTCAGACCACAAGTTAATAGAAGTTTAATTTTGCAAACACAATAAACCAGAGCTCCAACACGCATCTCTAATTTTAACACCATTAATTCGGGACCAGATAAATCACGACCATACTGAAATTTTGCTGGGAAAATATTGTAGCAAGGATGGACACCATTGCCTCCAGGGGATCTCACTGGCAATGAGGACATTCTTAAATTTCTGCCATTAGAAAAAGGAGATGCATTATGGAAAAGGGGGCGATGATCCCTTGACAATAGAAGCGAAGAAAGTCATGGATATTCTCATAGGTATTTTACAACTACAGTGAGATTTTTCCATTGGTAACACTATTCAAATCAGCTGCTGTCTTTCGCTTGTTATAGTGCTCAGTAGCATAGCGAGAAAGATAGAACTGGAAGAAATAGAGCATTTACCCGCACATAGAGCCATTAGAGCACTTAAACTACTTGGAATTTCCAGCCTCAATGAATGGAATATGTACTTTGGGGAAGGAAGGCAAGAGAGATGCTCTGTAATATGCACATAGAAGATACTTGAGAGATTATGCCTAAATATGCACACTACCATAACATACTAGAATGAAACTGAAATAGGCTTAGTGAAAAGCAGGAGAGTCACGGACACAATACGAGAACACTATCACAATCCATTTGCCAAGAGTTTTCCACTTGCTACCAGCATATATTAAGAATATTGCTGGAAGTAGAGTTGAATTCAGAGGAATTGGATCATGACCTCCTTGGTGTGCCATATCAACCAGTCCGTGATGGTGGCCCGGTGGTCTGGTGGCTAAAGCTCCCGCTTCACACACGGAGGGCCCGGGTTCGATTCCCGGCGGGTGGAAATTCCGACACGTTTCCTTACACCTATTGTCCTGTTCACCTAGCAGCAAATAGGTACCTGGGTGTTAGTCGACTGGTGTGGGTCGCATCCTGGGGGACAAGATTAAGGACCCCAATGGAAATAAGTTAGACAGTCCTCGATGACGCACTGACTTTCTTGGGTTATCCTGGGTGGCTAACCCTCCAGGGTTAAAAATCCGAACGAAATCTTATCTTATCTTATCTTATCTTGCCCGGCGGGCTGACAGTACCAACAGCCAGGCCGACCACACAGCCAACAGAGAGATCTAGCCTCGGGCCTAGCAGCGAAAGCAGAAAAATATCCGATACAAGTCACAAGCAAATTGCAGGTAGGGTTACCCTGCTAAAGCTTCCTATGCTCCCGTGTTCCTGTCACTACCCTGAGCACACACACCCTGCTGGGGAGGCCATCTGACTCCCTGTTATAACGGACCACTATGACGAGCTCTGCTTCACCCATCCACCGAGGCTCTTGTAACTTAATTTTTTCCTTCAGAAATATTTTGCACGAACGTGTGTACATTTTTAATTCTATGTCCAAAGTAAAATATTCTAAAAATATTCCCCGTAGTCACTTCTCTTCTAAAACCCCTATTCACACACACACACACACACACACACACACCCCACACAACACACACAGCACACACACGCACATATATATATATATATATATATATATATATATATTATATATATATATATATTTATATATATATATATATATATATTATATATATATATATATATATATTATATATATTATATAAAGATATATTATATATTTATATATATATATATATTATATGATATAATATATATTATATATATATATATTATATAATATATATATAATATATTATATATATATATAATATAAATTATATATATATATTATATATATTT